TAGATTGATTTATTAGCTAGCTTTTTGGTGATTAATGAATATAATTTTCAACTTGGAAAAAATTATTTTGTCCCTTAGAAAGAAATGATATATAAATATATATACACATATTTTTTTTTTCTTTAGTTGTATTTTATTTGGTTTTATGCATTATATTGCACTTGTTCCATACATCTTAGAGTGAATGGTAATGAAGCACTTGGTTCTATATTTAGTTACTTATTAGTTAATTCATGTTCTCATGTGGGACAAATGTTTGAAATTCTGATTACAATTTGCAGCCCGAGAGCATCCGTGTTATGGGTGATAAATCAACTGCCAGAGACACAATGAAGAAAGCAGGTGTCCCAACTGTACCTGGAAGTGATGGATTACTACAGGTATGTACTTTAACCTTAGGTATTATAAGTTTCAAGCCTCCTGAACTAGATGGTCATAAAAATTAATATTTCCTTGATTGTACTCTCTTTTTATCCTTTACAGAGCACAGAGGAAGGAATCAGGCTTGCAGATGAGATTGGTTTTCCTGTAATGATCAAGGTAAAGTATCTTGTCTTATTATGTCTCATGATAATTAAAACTCATTATACCCCGCTATGTCCTAGAATTTACGTTGCAGACCTTTTAGTGTTAACATAGAAAATTAAAAAGTTAAACGTATTCCTAATGTACCAAATTTCTTTTCCCTTTTTATAAAAAAAAAAAGGAAATTAATGATTTAATATAATAGAATTATTTATTAACTTCTTTTTAATTGTTAACTGATTAATTTAGAGGAACACATGCCTATTGCATAGAATAGCTGCTCATGAATTGTATCTGTTTGACGCTAGTACGCTACCCAATTTCCATGCTATAATGTTAAACTATGAAGATGTACCAACTCAATGAAGCTATAATAAAAGTTTTGTAGGTTTTAATTTTGAGTTTCAGTCAAGCATGCAGTTCCTTACAGAAATTTAAGTTTGCAGCTTAGTTCCTAGTAACTACTAACTATAATGAGTTCTAACTGTTATCTCTGATCTTTGGATGAGTCCGTTTCGTCATTTGGCAGAAACAATTCAAAACGATTTCAATTATAAGTGTGTTACATATAAACTCGAATATTTTTTTTCAAACACTGAGTTAAGGAAAGCCAATATAGATTTTTGTCTGTTATTGTTTCTGTTAAATGATAAGCATGTTTTGCTATTGAAGGCCACAGCAGGAGGTGGAGGACGTGGCATGCGTCTTGCTAAAGAACCTGAGGAGTTTGTGAAGTTGTTGCAGGTACTGTACCCAATGCATTGTATTCTTATTTTGTTGCTTTGCTGATGCCTTCTTTTATTGTTTGTCTTCTCCGAAAGTGTTTCGTTGATCATTTTTGGAGATATTGTTTAAGTTTTGTGTCAGATAAATTTCACTATAAATTTGTATGGTTGGGCTCTTAGTTTAGTTGGTCTTGTTATCCTTAAATGAGCATTATATTTTTGTATTACATTGCTGTTTCCATCGGTTTATTTTTTTGCCTCAATTTGATTGTTTGCAGCAAGCAAAGAGTGAGGCCGCAGCTGCTTTTGGAAATGATGGAGTTTATTTGGAAAAGTACATCCAAAATCCTAGACACATTGAGTTTCAGGTAATGTGCTTGTAAAAGTTCCTGATGATTTTTATGGTGTATATTGTATGTTTTGAATTATTAGTAGTATTCATTTTGACATTTGACGCAAACCTGCAATCTCTTGATTTATCCCTTGTAAAAACAGGTTCTTGCAGATAAATTTGGTAATGTTATTCACTTTGGAGAGCGGGATTGCAGCATCCAGGTACTTTAACCGGCCTTATTAGTTGCACGAATCACTGTGAAAGTTTATTTCTAGTTATTAGAATACAGCTGTCTTCAAGTGTTTATTCATTTATTCTCTAGTCATTTCTAAGAAATGCAAAACCCAATGACCCCTGCCAAATTGTTTTCATTTGTTGAATGTAACGTTCACAGAGAAGGAACCAAAAGCTTCTGGAAGAAGCACCTTCCCCTGCATTGACCCCAGAACTGCGGAAAGCTATGGGTGATGCAGCAGTTGCAGCAGCAGCATCTATTGGCTACATTGGTGTTGGAACCATTGAATTCCTTTTGGACGAAAGAGGTTCCTTTTACTTCATGGAAATGAACACTCGGATTCAGGTTAAACTAATCTTTTGAGGATGGCTTTGACTGGTATTAAAAATTTGCTTAATTATGCTAAACTATAATCTTTTTGCCAATGGAACGACAGGTTGAGCATCCTGTGACAGAAATGATTTCCTCTGTTGACTTGATTGAAGAACAAATTCGTGTGGCTATGGGTGAAAAACTCCGATACACGCAGGTAATTAGAGTAGTGTAGTTTTCGAGATATATTTGACGCTTTCTGTTCAATGTCTGACGGAGGTGGCTCCATCTACAGGAAGATATAGTGCTCAGAGGACATTCAATTGAATGCCGTATCAATGCAGAAGATGCTTTTAAAGGATTCCGACCTGGGCCAGGTATGTATACATATTTATATTCTGGTTCCCTAGGTTAATTGCTTAGTACAGCATGACACTTACGCAACATTTGGTCTTTTTCTGTTATTCTGTTATTCTGTATTGTACTATGTGATGCAGCCAAACCCTGATGATATAGGGTTCTAAGTTAGTTCAGCACTCCAAGAATTCCATTTATTTTACTAGGGTTGCGCATGTACTGGTTTAACAATGACATTATGTATTCACTCTGTTTTTAATACATAATCTTCTGCGTTTCTTAACAGGAAGAATAACAGCCTACTTACCATCTGGAGGTCCCTTTGTTCGAATGGATAGCCATGTTTATCCTGATTATGTGGTTCCTCCAAACTATGATTCCCTTCTTGGAAAGGTTTGTGACCCATATACATCACCAATATAATATTATAGCTTTCAGGTTTATTGTTCTAAATTTTAATCACTTTGGCAATATTGCTCTCTTGATGTAGCTTATTGTTTGGGCACCAACAAGAGAAAAGGCGATTGAGCGAATGAAGAGGGCTCTTGACGACACTGTTATAACAGGTAAATAATAATATAGTTCATTGGTGAAATCACTCAGTTTTATTTAATTTTTATGTTAGCATAATTGGACTTTATGTAGAAGAAACTTCGTGTGAGCCATTTGAATTTAAGCAGTGCTGTGAATAGAACCGAAGGGGCAAGTGTTTTTTTTTTTTTTTTTTTTTTTTTCTTTGTTGGTCAAAGTTTTATTGAGAGTTTCAGGTTGCTTTAATTCATGATGTAAATCTGGAACACTCCTTTTTCGTTGTTAATGGTGGTTGATGTAGTTATTGCCTTTGTTCCACAGGGGTTCCCACAACCATTGAATACCATAAACTTATCCTTGACATAGAGGATTTCAAAAATGGCAAGGTTGATACTGCTTTTATTCCAAAGCATGAAGAGGAGCTACAAGCGGTAAGAAACTAGTCTAACCCTGAACATAAATTTACCGGCGAGCCTTCGATTTTCCATTCTGGGTTCTCATATTTACTAATTTCTCTTTCATGTGCCTACAGCCCCAACATTTGGTGCCCGCGGCCGCTGCCAAGAACTAGCTGGTGCGTCTGCTTTCATGGATGGCTCTCTAATTGCCACTATGTATCTGGTCTAGTCGACCACATTTAACCGGCAAATCTTTCGCTTTTCTGTACGAGTTATATAATTCGTGTCCTTTTTATACTCATTAGAACTAATAATATTATTCACATGCCTTGCATTTGAGTATTTCATTGAAATTTTGACATGTTCATGTGTTTCAGTTGGGTGTACAAACTTGTATTGCTCACCCTATGTGTGTTTGCAAACTATTTATATTTAGCAAGATCCTTGTTTCATAATTTAGGTTTAATCCTATTATCATTTCGGGGTTTGACTTTCTGCTGAATTTCGTTCTTAGGTTGGAGATTTTTTTTCAACGTACCCAAAACACGAGCCGGTAATACAAGTGAAGGGACATTGAAAAATATATCATCTCTACTTATATTATAACATATAGTGTATCAGCCTTATATTTTGGTTACATGGAAATATCTCTCCCTTGGAGGTTGGCTGAAAACAACCTTAGAAACTTGTCGGGTGGAGTGGCATCCTAGCAAATGATGGTGGGAAATTGGTAAATATGTAATCACAAAACTAAATCTAAACAAATTTAGAAAACTATTTAACATTGCTTTTAGTTTTTAACCCTACTTGGTACATCATTATTTCTACAGTTCGTGCAAATTATTGTCTAGTTTTGTTGTGTCTTGGAGAAAAATCTTATTCTAGTAGGCAGCGCGTGTTTGGGTTTGGAATTAGAATATCATTCGTATCCTGCCCTTCCCATCCTATCCATTATTCTAAAAATTTCCACCTAGGCCTCATGTAGGCATTAGGAGGTTGACCATTACTTCGATTAATGTCTAGGCATTTGAAAATTAAGAAAGAGTGTCTAGATCTGCTGAGATGTCTACCTAAACCGCCTAGCTTGCCTAGGCACCCTCCTAGATAACGACTCACTTAGACAGAAAATAGATAATTTTCATTTTGCATATTTTTTTTTCAATAAATTGTAAAAGACTTGTTGCATACTTAAATGAACACACATTATATCCTTATTTTATGTTTCAATATTTCTTAATGTATATGTCATTCTATTTTATAGTTTATGATGAAATTATATATTTTTAAGTAGAAGCAGACACTTATTTACACAAAATATAATAGATTTACTCAAATCCACCTAGTCCATATAGGTGCCTGCCTAGCCTCTAGGCCCTAGCCCTCTCTCCTTCTCATTTTTGTTAAAAAAAAAAAAAAAAAAGTGTTCATACATACAAAATAAATGGGGAAATGCTAGTTATTAATTAAAAAGAATAAATTGTATAGGAAAAGAGAACTGTGATTGTCGTTGCTGTGTTTCCTTCCATCGGCGGCGGCGGCAGCAGCAGCAGCAGCACATTGTGCTTCTAAGATTTCTGTGATTCTCAAAACCCCAAACAGGAAAACCAAAAAGAAAGATTATAAGAACTCGTTTGGTTTGGTTCGGTGTTGGGTTTTCGCTGACTGGAGCTGCAATCTCTCACCTCGTCTGGAAAGATCTTCTCGCCCCCCGCTTCGCTTTTTCCTCCGATGTATGTAACCCATTAACTCTCTCTCTCTCTCTCTCTCTCTCTCTCTCTCTCTCTCTCTCTCTCTTTATGAACACACACACATACAGTCGTACATATGATTTCAAGTTTTCATTTTCTTTGTTGTGGGGGATTTTGTAGGTGAAGCAAAAGTTTGATGCTCTTGAAGGTAGACTTGTGAACTTCTTTATCACCAGACCCGAATCACCATCCCGCTCAGGTATTATTATTTTTGTTTTTGTTTTTTTTATTCTTATGATTGGATTTGTGATTTGGTTGAATTTCTGATAGTTTTATGCAGTAGCCCCCGACCAATTCATCATTTTTTTTTCAGAACTAACCATTACCCATCTTAATAATCTCAAAATTAGGACAAATGATTAGCATTTGATGGTTATTATATGTGAGTTTTAACAATGCCAATGATATTCTATTTGGGTTTTGGTTATAATTGCACATTTTTCTGACATGAAATTCAGCAGTCAATTGCTGCACAACGTCACGTTACTTGGGTCTGTTACTAAATGGGAATAATTGAAAAACTAATGTAGATTGTTCATTGTTATGATCTTGGCAAGGATGTGGAGTGTTGTCCTAGAACGAAATGTTAAGGGACCTTTGCATGGTCTTATAAGGAGTGGGGCTACTCCGCCTATTGCCAATTGATTTTAGGGTCGAACCTCAACCCTTTTCAAGCCTTTTCCAGGCATAGAAAGGATGTTTTCCTTGGTTCGTAGATATAATTGTTTATAATGGTGTGTGTGTGTGTGTGTGTGTTTATGTGTGTCAATGAGTAAGTCGATTGGAACCTAATGGAGCCATAAAGTAGATTTTCTAAGAGGAGCTTTTGCGGGAAAGTTAATAGATGGAATACATTAGATGCCATCTGAATTCAGAGTGTAGTTACATAGTCAAATCAAAGAAAAGAAATAAAAACGTTACAAGGATAATTCCGTTCATGTGCTCAGTAGATGTCTCAAGTTTGAAGAAATAATCGACACTAGAAGCAGGGAAAAACTAATATCAGGATAAAAACTCAGTCACGTCCGGTTTAGCTTCCATGATATTGGATGAATTTATTTCGTGTCAAAGAAATGAGGTTATGTCATGTTAGACCTCTATCAGAGTTAGCCTTAGTTTGGTACTGAGTTGATTTTGAAAAAAGTGGCTATCAAGAAAAGCTGGGAGCTTTTTTATGTTTGGTAAACATTCAGCTTTAGCTTTTTTTTTTACAGTTTTGGATGAAAAAAAGCCAAAAACACAAAGCTGCAAAACCCAGCTTTGAAAAACCAGTTTTTTTTCACATATGTTTTACATAAAAGTTTATCAAACACTATAATACTGCTTTTTTTTTTTTTTTCAAAAGCACTTTTAACAAAAAAGTTTACCAAACACTCTGCTGCTTTATTTCACAGCTGCTTATCCTCACAGCACAGTAGAAACAATTTTTTTTTAAAAGCACGGCAATACCAAACCAGCCCTAGTATATGAGCCGTGTCCTGCTGACAGCCTTGTGGGGTTGGAAAGGCCGATAATTTAGTCAAAGGGGAAGCAAGCATAAGTTTGATTGCTGCTGCCAACACTTGCAACATGGTTACCAATTGGCACTTGACAGCGTCTTAACCAAGATGGTTATTCACATCCATCTTCTAGTCCATTATTGTTAGTTTTTGAACAACTGATTCAGTGATTGCATTTGACTTGTATTTGGCGGGTTGAGGGTCACTACATTTTTACTTGGACGAAATTATTGAATTTCCTTGTTTTCTGATGCTAAGTTGAACTTGATATTGAATTTCGTTGGCTTCTGATGCCAAGTTGAACTTGATTCATACATAAAAATCAAGATATTTCATTTGTCAGGGACACCATTGGATGGCGAGTTCGCTACCAAAATATTATAACTGACTTGCTCCAATCCAAGTTACCATTGTATAACTGAAACTTATGGAAAGCAGTAACATTATTGTATATATGTCTCTACCGCGGATTATATAATTTCCCAATTTGTCAGTACAACTTCTCCAATCTAATAAAAAAAAATTCCCTTTTTCTATTATTTACTATATAGGTATACGAAAACTTTCATACCACCTCAACCCCGGCCAAGAAGACGAGCGGACCGGAGCATGGCGACGCTGAGTAATCAAGTGATTTTAATGCCTTGGATCTGCACTTGTCCTTGTGATCGTCGCTGCGCATGTGCTTGTCACGGCACTCAGCGCTGCAAAATGCTTTCTCACCTCTGCAAACAAGGGGGAATTGAATGCTTTGTTAGTGAAGCATCTAAAGTTAGATGAGAGGATATGAAAGATGCCAAGTATATATGCAAAGACCCATTCCCCATTTCCAAATTGGCTACTTCGTAGCCCTACCATTCGAAAAAACAGTCAACAAGAGATATTGGAACAAAACAAAACCAGCTGGAATTTTCTCCATTAATAATTGTATCAAAACATCTCACCACCATGGAGTTTACAACCATTCGGAAAGCTCAACTTTTGCTAAGAAGATAAACAAGAGAGAACAACTTTGCTCAGTACCTTCGATTAAGGTACAAAAAATAAACCCATATACGATGTATACCGGGTAGACTTGTTCTCCAAGACCCCATGTCCAAGGAAATAGTGGTCACCCACTATTTGATCTTAATCCAACAGTTGTGGTCCTTTTAACTTTTGTTGTTGTATTTTCTCCTCCACCATTGGAACAAGATCGAACTATTGGTGACCGCAATTTTCTTGGACCATGGGGTCTAAGAGAACGGGACTTGTATAACAGGTGGATGCATTGAGTAGAGTGGCGATGCTACACCATGGTAAAAAAGTGAGCAATTTTTTATCCCAAAGAAATGAACACTTTCTCAAAGGAGTACTAGTAACTTGGTAAGAAAGTAATAATAAGTAAACAGCTGGGAGCTGGCAAATATCCTAAGTTTCTCAAGATGCATGTTCCATTGAGTCCGAAGACAAAACAAAACTGACATTACTTCTTAAGCATGCAACAGTCTAATGACACTATTGTCAAACTAATGATTGGTGTACAGCCTGGCATATAATTTTATAGTGATATATACATAAATCAACACAAAATGTCACTAATGGATTTTGCTTGAATTTCTTTGAAACAACCGGCTTCGATACAATCAAATGAGAACCTAAGTTAAGGATTTTAAGTGTGAAAACCAATCGACAAGCTACTTATTGATGCTAGAGTACTCAAGTTTTACTTTGTCTGTCAAGCTTGTATCTTACTCCTCAAAAGCTCACTGAGATGACTATTAGCAAGTTGGCACAAGGCCAGAAGTGGAATGTTAGCTTAATCAAGATGTACATGGTCGTCGAGGACAATAGAGAGACCACAACAATCACCTAAGAATCTCCAGTAACTTTCTGAAACTGTACTTAAAACCGTTGTTCTCAAAAGGAAACAATATTCGGATATGTTCTGCATGAATTCAAGCGCACAACAAAGAGGACCAAAGGAGATGACCTAATACGGGAATGAAGTCATTCGAGTACCATTCAATCACGAACAATAACCTAAACAGTTGAACCTCTACGAGAAAATCATGCCACGAAAGGTAACCCTCTACTTGAAACAAAAAATTACAAATACGAGGAGAAACACTATAGCTGCTGATGCAGATCCATGAGTCACATCCTCCTGCCTAGACCGACAACTTACCAGAGACCAAAAATTATGTTACAGATTGACCAGTTTGCACAACATAATCAATAAGCAAAAACTAATCCCATATTCAAAATCAACAACGTGGTTCAAAATCCACGATTTCCTAAATCATGCTTCACCAAAATCAATCGTCAAAAGTGATTAACTCGCAACTATACATCAAGAGAACATATATACATATGTCTCTGTGTGTGTGTATATATAATGTATGTATATACAACTTTTGTTTTTACCTGTACATGAAAATGTCCAGTCCATGAAGCAGCTTCTTGCAAAGATAACAACAACTGAGAAAATCGGATGCCCAAAACTCTCTTCCCACTTCACCAACACTCAATGGAGAAGTAGAGAACACCCCAGGGGCCACCACCATACCAGCATTAGGATCATCCACAACCCAACTCAGCTTATCATCGAAATAAACCCGCTTCGATGTCAAATTGTTTCCGAAATGCGAAATCACACACGTATAGCTCTCAGACAATTCATCCACCACAGCCCCAGCCCTCTCCACGCAAAACCCACCTCTGAAATTAGCTGCAGGCTTAGCTGCAGAGACTATGGGGATTGGGCTCGACCTTGGTGACTTTTCAGACAAAGCCACTTCATTGGGGCTGCCCAAATCAGTCATGGCAGCCACTATTGCAAGCCCAACAACCCCATCTTGGAAATTTCTTGGGGATTTGATTGACTTGGGGAACTTGTCAGAGGAAATTGACTCGGAAAAAGTAGTGGAAAGTGAGATACTGATTGTGGCTCGCTTTTTCCCGGAAAAATTCTCCATCTTCCGGGAAAGTCTGCAACTGGGATTTGTTTAGATTCTCTTACTTTTGCTAAATTGAATGGTTGGTGATTTTGTTTTAGCTGATTTAAAGGAGGATTGCCAAAGCAGAGGAAGACCGAGGTAATAGAGAAAAGGGTTTTCTTGACTCTTTTTAGGAAACCATGAAATATTGGAGATATTATTTTTTGCTAAATTCAGTGCAGCTTCTGAGAGAAGTACCCCGTCTTTCTCTCTCTAAAATCTATAAAGCTTGAGTATTTCTAGAGAGAGAAACCTGCTAGAGAGAGATGCAGAGGAAGAACACCTTTCAGGTCTCTTCTCTCCGGTCTTCTCTAACGTCTCTGAACAATCAGAGGAAAGGGCAATATAAATAGGAGTAGTATTCTCCCCCTTTTTTTCCCTCTCTGTCATTCTCTTTCTATTTAAACGGTTACAGTTAAACCATGTCAATATTTTATATTAATTTTTTATAATAAGACAAAAACAAAATAGAGAATGTGAAAGAAAAAGATAGAAAGAGATTACAAGAGAAGTGTAGAGAATCCTAATCCATATAAATGCACTGTTTTTTTCAATTAAAATTTTTATTAAATTATTATTCTTGCAATAAAAATACACAAACAATAGTTTTTCATTTTATTTTGTAATAATTGGTGGTTGTCACTTTCCTTATTCTTTCTTTTTCGTATATTGGCCCTTCCATGTTTTGGTTAATAAATCATGGCCGTTGAGTTGTTAGATTCTTTTACATCTTTCATATTTGTGTCCATAAAAAAAAATTAAAAAAACTCCTTGTATATTTTGATATCTAGCAAAAAGACCATAATATTTGCGAGTGAGTTGCTTCAAAAATGAGTTTTGTTTTGTTTCGTAACCTGTTCACAAAAAAATTGTCTCACTAAGTTAAGATTTGATAAAAAATAAAAATAAAAAAAAGTTTTGTTTATATTCAAAGCAATGATCTTTCCTTCAAAAGAATATTTAACTATTAAGAGTACGACTCTTGTTCTCTTAAATATCTCACAACATTATGATAGTGCTGACCCTAAAAATTACAAAGTCTACGTGACGCGCAGGCCGAGTAACTAATAAGCTAACTACGTTATTCGGTTGAATGCGAGACGTGCTAACTCGTCGGCTGAGCTCGACCGAGGAGTAAAATTTGTTAATGTTGCGTTGAGCGCGTTGTTGACTTCTTTATCTTGCGACTGCGGCCAATGAAGGAACAAATCTCGGCCTTTGGATTCTCAAGCCTGAAGACAAGGCTGCTAGTTCTGCGAAGTTCACGAATCGTCGGCGTCGAATTCGGTTACGGTGATTATATTCGTGAGAGTATAAGCATGTCGAATCGACACCAGACTATATGGACACAAGTATTCAAAAGCAATGTGTGTCTTAATGGTAAATGTGGTTCGGCCCTCATAATGCCGAACTCTGAAACTCACTTGGGAGTATCCAATCATAAAACTGCTTAGCGTTTAATGCGTCGAATGTCGTAACTCGTAACACCTCACTTTGCAGAGAAGGCTAATCAGATGACCTCTGCCAATAAGGATTCGAAAATCCTTCTCGACCGAGACTTGGATAGATAACCAGTCGGCCCCAACGCAGTGCTGTTTATCCAAACTGAAGATGCTCCTCGGTCGGCTGATTCTACGGCAACAGTGCTGTTTATCCAAACTGAAGATATTTGCCGATTGCCTTCACAGTGCTGTTTATCCAAACTGAAGGTGTGTCGACGAAAAAAGGAAATAAAAAAAAATCTCAAGTTGTTTGAGAGGTTTGCGCAAGGCAATTGTGTGCTGAATTGGAGGTCCCTGAATTGCACCCTCCTTTCTCTATTTATAGCAAAAACCCAATCCTAACCATGCTCGAACTAGGACTCCTTACCCCAATCCATCTTATCTCAGCCAATCCCACTTTTATTAGGATTTTGAATTCAACCTCTTAGTAGGCCGCATTCACTTCCACTTTCCGGTATCCTTATCTGGCCAAGAATCCTTACTGCATCAGGACTTAACCACTTCATTCATCTGCTTCGCAATAGGGCCCACCTACTTCCTATTCATCTGAAATATTCTTTTCCAAATAAGGCTTGGCCGACTTTTAGTTAGGCGGCCTATGAACCGGCTGGTTTGTAGAAATCTTCGAACAGAGCTTCTGGGCCGAGAACAACTCCATACTCGGCCCAACCTAATAATTTTAGGTCCAAACAAATAGATTGACTAATGCTTCACATTTTGTCGAATTTAAATTCCAAATTTGATAAATTTTTAGTTAATTGACCAAATCTAAGTTCACGTATCATTCGAGAACAGATACTCTAAAAAGAGAGAAAAACAAATGTTGCTTTTTTTTTTCTTGACTCTTCTTATCTTTGTAACAATTAATGACTTCTAAATTTTAAATTTCCCTACCGGTAATTCTAAAGTTAATACCACTCATGACTTTTATGAATGATAAGTTTGATAACTTGACTTAATAAGCATTATATTTTGTTCTAAGAAAACTTTTAGTTTGGATGGCCTTCTATGTTTAGAAGAAAACGTATCAAATCAAATTAAAGATTTTAATGCCGAGATATTCTCTCATGTACCCAAAATATTATGTGGCCATTACTCCTGATTTCCTCCCTCCCTCTCTATCCGTTCTGTTTCAACCAATCACAATTGCAGAAGAAACTAATAGAATTGTGCATTTTTTTTAACAAACGATATTATCTATACTAAGAGGGAGAATTGTGAGCTTAGCCTCACAATGAGCTAGCAACAATATTGTTCAAATTCACCTTTGTCTATAATTGAACCTAAGACCTCTCACTTACAAGTTAATAGGAATACAATTAGACTATAGTATTAAGTGGCTATTGTGTGTTGGATACATGCATGAAAAGTCCATGTTTAATAAGGATCTAGATGACGAAAATATACTTAATTTAATAAATAATGGGTAAAAATTTTTGACTAAAAGTGAGGGTATTTTTGTTATTTTTGTTCTAATTTAACGGAGATTTTTTATCGAATGACGAAAATGATTAACGGTAGACAAATTTAGGACCACATACATTGATTTTAAATCTTAGGAACCAAAATAAGGAGTTATGCCAATCTCATAAACTATTTTGACTAAAAAGCCATAAAACCATAAAACCATAAGACCATCACTTAGTAAACAATGCGTTAAAGTAACTTTGCCAACCAATCAGCCCTTATTTAAGCTTTAACCTTTTTAAATACAATCAGCCCTTATTTAAGCTAAATTTATACTTGTGTTATGTTCTACCAACTATGCAGTTAAGTTTAAAGGTGGTTTGCCTATTTCTGACACACCCCTACCGAAATCAGGGTGTGCTGGCCATCACGTGAGGGTGATGTAGCCATGTGCATAGTGGAAAAGCAAAAGATAATAATAAAAGTACGAATAAATAAAAACCAAACTACTAAATAAACTAGTTAAGGTAACACACTAGTGCGAGACTAAGCGTGATAAACATAATCAGAGCACAGAAAGCCTAAGTGCAGTCCAGAAGAACAAATACTAATTACACAACACCCAAAGGTGATCCTACATTTGTGATGTTCTGTCAGAACCACCGTTAAGTCCTCGTGAACCACCAAAGCTGCTTCTAACTAGAACCTAAAGGGGCGCAAAACAGAAAGTGTGAGTGGGCAAAAACAAAGCTTTTCAAAATCATTTCATTATCAAAAGTTCTAACCCCTCACCGTAAAACCTGTATAGTTTCCCAGAAAATAGAATATACATATATATTGAAAACATGTTCAGAAATATACCATGTCGAATGCCTCCACATGAAATGTAAGTAACCTAGGTAATGTCAATCAATGCAAGTAACATGTCAGCAAGAGTCACCTAATGTGACCTGTACGACTGAATCTAGAGCTTAAATCCCCAACTCATTAACTATACATGCACACGAGTATGAATCACCTAAAGTGGTATGTACGACAGGACTGGGTGTAAATAAATACGCTCAAGTGCTACGATCACGTGAAGACTGGGCGAATAATCGCGGGTCGCCTACGAGTCGGAACCACCTAAAGTGGTCTGTACGACAGGACTGTGCACCTAACTTAGATCCAAGATGAGCGTGTGGTGCGGGAGGTGAACATCACGTGAAAGACTGTGCCCTACTGTGGGCGGGAGCACTAACACTGAGGGTGCAGGATATGAGCTCTCTATGCATCTCACATAACCACTAATTCACAATCATAAACCATAAACTTACCTGGCACTTACTTGTGCGTCCGCAGCACCAATCATAAATATATGCAACTACTAATGCATAAATAAATAGGCAAACGCAATGCATGACATTTAAAACATATAAACATTCCATTTCATTCTTTGGGAAAAGCCACAAGTATATAGGTATATACGGAAAACCAAAAACCCACTCACTGATATGTGGAAGGGTCGTAACCTCTTGCCTCGAGTAACTGCGCTCGTCCTCAGGATAGGTCTCACCTACATGCGAAACAACTATAAAAACGTCAATTTAAAGCACATAACCAAAACTAGGTAATAACTTCTCATACAATGCTCAAATGGGGTGTGTGAATACACCAACGTGATCTACTCAACCTCACGAACATCCCTATATTTTTAAAATAATTTTATGACCTCCTATGCGTAGCCACGCGCCGACCAAGGCACGGCCAGACGAGCTAGCCACGAGCGGGCATGTGCCTGGCACACGTGTGGTAACCCTAACGGCATTAGGGAATATTGCTTCCAAAAATAGAATATACCGTTATATATACCTGACACCATTAGTAACACTGTTAGTATATTCCGTCAAAATTGACGGAATATTCCTTGTCTTCTCCGGTGAGTCTTGCCGACCGCCACCGTCCACCGCCGTCAGCCCTGCCGTCTGCAACTCGAATTCTCACCGGAAACTAGAAAATTTTCAAAACTTCATATCTCCTTCATTTCCCAATCAAATTCCATGAAATTGGTATCAAAATGAAGCTTACAACAAGTAGAACAAAACCTTACCACTTTCAAGCCGTGAAATTCACTGAATCTTGTCGGAGAAACCACGAAATTCTGGCCAAACCTGCAACTCGCCACTCATGCCCTTCCCGACGTCCAATTTCTTCCAAAATGCTTCTCCGAGCTTCGTGAGAGTATTCTAAAGCTTCCTATGATCTTAGAAACTTCTAAAACCCCCACGATCACATGTGCAAGAAGAGTGCACAAAATTGGGGTTCCCTGGTTCCCAAGTTTTCCAAGTCTTCACGTCTAAAAACTAGTATAGATGAGTTCGTGATGACGAAATGAAGGTGATGGTACTAAACACGAGCTCGATCTACACAGAAATGGGTTGGTTTGGTGTTGTTTGTACGACTTGTACGGACGTTGTAGAAAATCGAAAGAGGGAGGAAAGAGAGAGAAGGCACAAGAGTGTATGGTATGGGTGTGTGAGTGCGTGTGTGGTCCAAATGCAACCAACAAAACCACAAAACAATCACCCTTAAAATGACAAATAACCACCAAGGGCAAAATCATCATTTCACACCTACGGTACAAATAATTCGGGACAGGCTGTCACTATTTCTATCTGAAAAAACCCTTAATCAAAATCTTTAAATTTACCTAAACAATTAAAAAAGGGAAGGGAAGGAAATATAATGCAGAAGGTTGAGATTAGGGTTGGAAATTTTTCTTGAAAATCTCAAACCAAACCAATAAAATACCGATTCCATATGGACAAATTCCCAAACCAATAATACTGAAATTTTTGGGATTATTATATTCAATGATTTAGGAATCCCGAACCGAACCAAAAAAAATATATTTATTTTGGTTGCATGCATGTTGAATGTTGAATTCAAGTAGTTTTACTATATTAGAAATACAAGTATAAAATTAAGTAGTTTGGAACTTTGGAATATCCATTTGACTTGGTATTTCAATTGGTATGGAATTTCAAATTGGTATGAGGTAAAAAGCCTAAATTTCAATTGATATGAAATTGGGGAACAAAATTTTAGGCGAAAAGTCCAAATATAAGTCCATAGCCCAAAAATTTCAAATTTCAACCCAAAAACCCAAAAGCTCAAAACCGAAAATTCAATCTTGATCCATCCTGAAATACCAAAAATATTTTGGGAATCTCGAAAAATTAGAAATACCGAAATTTTGGCTCGGGATTGGTCTTCAAATTCCAGTCTCAAAAATTTTCGGTTTGGAATTCGAAATCCCATTTTTGATTTGGGATCCTATACCGAACCACCCCTAGTTAAGATAGAGAGATTAAGGCTGGGCAAACGGGTAAAGGAACCGCGGGTCAGGGTGGGTATTATAAGTTCGAGGCGGGTATGGGCTGGTTCCAAAATTTGTAGAGAGAAAATGGGCCAGGCCGCTGTCAATTACGGGGTGGAGCGGGTCCAAATAATTAAAAACAATGGGTACCCGGATCAACCGATTTCTAATTATAATGAACGGCCGAGACTAAATGATAACCTATCATCCAATCTCAACCGTGAGTTTCTACCCTAGTCCCCGAGTCCAGGTTTCAGTCTCTCCCTCAAGTCCTCGACGACTCCCTCGAGCTCGACTCCATATCTTAAATCTCAAATTCTCAATCGTTTTCTCCAGCCTCACATCACAGAAATCACGCAGCCCATCACTGCTGTCGAGACCAACACAACGGCACCACCCATTCAGCCATCATCCTCGACGACATCCCAGGGAACCCAGGTCCTAGAACCACGACGGCTCGATTCTCTCCTCTTCGACAACACCACTGCTGTCGCGACCATCATCACCCCATCACTGCCATTGAGGACACTGCTACCAGCCATCATCCCTCTAAAATTTAGGTAATTTTCAATTAGGGTTTTGTTATTAATGTGAATTTTCTGGGTTAGGGATTTTAGGGTTTTTAAATTAGAATTTGTAGATCGATGAATATCGAGAATTTTCGTGGGTGTTGATTTTATTGGGTTAATTTGCCCTCTAATTGGGTATTGGGTATTCATTTTCTTTTTGGTTTTCCGTCTTTCGATTATTTGGATCTTTTTTGATAGGAAGAAACAAACTTTTTTATACGGTTAAATTATACCATTTATATTTGTATATGGTGAATTTCATGAATTCCTCTATCACAGGGACTTCATATGTCTGTCTTGTTTATCTCATAGTTGAATTTGTTGGGTTTGAATTTTGTTTACTACTTCCTATCCGATTCCGTGTTTAGAATTGTTCGTTTTGTGCTTGCTTAGATTGAAATCTTGTTCTTGTGCATGATATACTTAATTGACCAAGAAAGCGTGATTTTTCTTTTTGGCTCTGTTTTTCTCTCTGTTTGATTCCCAAAAAACGTAATTGATCAAGTATTTTGCTTTGGAATTATATTTTCTCATGTAAGTTTCCTGTTAGTTTCAGATTGTCCATTCTTTAGAATTAGCTTGGTTTCAGTTTCGTATAAAAACTTTATGGAAACTTAGTTATATTTTACCCGATCGGGAGCAATGATTTAAGCACCATCCCTTTGTGTTGAAATTTATCGTTTGTTTGAGAGTTATCTATGTTTTTTGTTTGGAGACCTTCATTTCTTGTAGTCCTGATGCTTCCATATTGTTGAATACATGTTTTCCAGTGCCATCTGCTGAATACATGTTCACCCTTAGTTGCCTACCCATAATTATGTATGATTTCTATTGTATCTAAATATAGTCAAACTTTCTTCATATTTCAACACCTTCCCCTTGTGTAAAATTTATCGTTTGTTTGAGAGTTGAAATGGAAAAGCATCTTTTCGTATTAGCAATTCGATGATGTTTTCAGAATTTGGGTTATCTGTTTCACTTGATATTTGTTCATCTTTATGGATTTCTCTATGTAGTTTGCATTACAGAATTCACTGACATTTGGTAAAAGTTGAACAACTCACCATTGATTATTATTGTTACTGTGCGAGAGTTTGAGCTTTCTGATGATATTTTGTTTGTCGTGTCCTTGTAATTTAGGGATTCATTGATCTTTAGATGTCTCTCGGATGTTATTTTGAATGTCTCGGATTTAATGTATCGAACGATGTTGGATGATGTAATGTTGTTATTTTGGATTTATTGTTAATCTATGGACTTGGATGTTGGACTTTGTAATGTTGCAGGGAGTGAATCTGTGCAAACTGTAAAATCTGCACACTGCACTAGTAGTGAATCTGTGCAAATCTATGGACTTGGATGTTCGACTTTGTAATGTTGCAGGGAGTGAATTTGTGCAAACTATAAAATCTGCACACTGCACTAGTAGTGAATCTGTGCAAATTTTAGGTTTTGTTTTTTTCACAAAAAAAAAAAAAAAGAAAAAAAAAACCGGAGGACCCGTGGACCCGACCCGGTTTCGATATTAGAATATGTTGTCCCCTGCCGACCTGTCTCTTTTAAATCCAGATCTGGTCTGGTCCCTTCAAAATTAGGCTTGGCCCGGCCCGTGCCCAGCCCTAAGAGAGGTTGGGTAAAGAAAAGAGAGAAAAATGTAATAGGGGAGGGATGGATGAATGGAGTTGGGGAGGTAGATATCGGAAACAGAGCCAGGGGTGGGGGTGGGAGCGAGAGGAGGATGGATTGATTTATGTTGCGTGGTATGGGGTCGTAGAAATGGGATTATGAGTCGAGAGATTCGAGATTGGGTTGGGGTCTGAAGGCTCTGAGTTGTGAGATCGAGTTGGAATCTGAGATGAGACAGGTGGAGGCGTGTCGGGTAGAGGAACGTCTCTAAGTCAAAGATGGTAAACCCATGTCTTTCTTCTTCCTTTTTAATGTTTTATTTCATTATTTTTGAAATTTTCATTTAGTTTGAGTTTTAATAGATTAAAAAAATTAAAACTAGACCCCACATTCATGAAGAAGGTGCTTTAACAGAAATTTTAACTGAAATCATCAAAGGTTTCACATTGGCACCAAAATTGAAGTCTAAGCGGTAATTGGAAAACAAAACCTAGAAAATGCACACACTTTTAATTAGGGTGCAACTCGGACGGGTTGGGCCAGTTAGATAGTCAATCGAATCCTAATCCAACATTCCTAATTCGAGTTTGGGTTGGTTTCAGATTCATAAAAAAAAAAAAAAAAAAAAAAAAAAAAAAAAACATAAAGTGTGAGATGCACTTTTCAAGTTTCAACCATGCAAAGTTGAAATTAAATGACAAAACAATATCAACGTTGTAACCGAAAGAAACGTAAAAGCAACATTATCCTTCATTTTCAAATGAAAAGCAAACAAGAAACTTCAAATATAGCTCCCCCAAACTTGTGTCTAGCTCATATAATATGAAGTGGGACATGTAATATGTGCATGAACAATTTGGGCTAGAAATTGAGTTGCGTTTGGGTTGACACGGACAAGCAAAGTATTAACCCAACCCAACCCAATAAATAATCGGGTTGAGGTTGGGTCGATTTTGGGTGGGTTTTTACTTCATTCTAATTGGCTCAATTAGGTTTGAAATCAGGTTGGACATGGGTATATTCGGGTTGACACAACCTAAGTTGCATTCTTACTCCTAATAGTTTAGTTGGTGTTTATGGGATGAGGATCCTCTCCAGATCCACTTTGTGAGGATCTTGGGGATCAATTCACTTAGCCGATTATCATGCATCGTGCGATCAGTTTTTGTTAGGTACTGTTTGTATTAAATTCTAAAGAAAAAAATAAAAAAAATTTCTGACCGGAAAATCCTGATAAGATGAGTGACGAACGGATCCGGATAAGATCTTGTTCGTGTTTTTGCGAACTCCCATTCATTTTATATCTAAACAGTTAACGAATAATAAATATATAAGTTTATGCGTCAATTAATATTGAATAAAGTATTTTCAGCGTGCAAATGTTATACATGAAACTATTTAAGGTTTAAATCTTTATTTAAAAATTATGGGGAAAAAAACATTTCAATGGAACATTTCCAAATGTAGTATTAATATCCAAATGCATTAAACGGAGGGTTCAAATTTGTGTTATCATTCCAACACTCAGGTGTGTCAGGAAATGGAGGTGACGGTTCTTCTGAGCCCAGTACGTGTTTCAGCTTCTCTCAACCCAAAACGCCTTTCTATTTTCTGCCATCAATCCCATTCACAAAATCGAGCCTTCGCACGCAAGGTCGGTCTCCCTCCCTCCCTCTCTCTCTCTCTCTCTCTCTCTCTCTCTCATGAACATTTTACTGTATTTGTAGAATTGGGACTTGTATTTTTTAATCAAATTTCGATTCAACAAATGCCCGTAATTTGTTTTAGCAGGTTTATGAATTTCTTGATCTAGAGTTTGATTAGTGTCTTGAACTCTTTAATTACCCATGCTTTGTGTAAAATGAGTTGAAGATTACGATATTGCTTTAGATTTCTTCAAGGATATCCTTTTATTTGGGCTGTGCTTACAACAGATAATCCGGAAATGGAAGCGGGATGAGTGTTTTAATGGCCAAGCTACTTACGTAGATTGCGTGCGGATAATTCGGAGTTTAAGTGAACAAAGGTTGCCTCATGTAGCTCAGGAGCTTTTACTCGAAATGAAATCGGATGGTCTTTTGCCCAGCAACTCCACTCTATCTGCTTTGATGCTATGCCATGCCAACAATGGCCTTTTTCCTCAAGCGGAAGCAGTGTGGAACGAAATGTTATATTCTTCTTTTGTGCCTAGTATTCAGGTTGTTTCGCAGTTATTTGATGTTTATGGACATGCGGGATGTTTTGAAAAAGTGAATGAAATTTTGGGCCAGATAAGGGCTAGGTATTTGAGTTTGTTTCCGGAGGTTTACTTGCTAGCTATCTCTTGTTTTGGGAAGGGAGGCCAGCTTGAATTGATGGAAGGTGCATTGAAAGAAATGATTTCAATGGGTTTCCCGGTGGACTCTGCCACTGGAAATGCCTTTATCAGATACTATAGCATTTTTGGTTCCCTGACTGAGATGGAGACCGCTTATGGCCGCCTTAAAAGGTCTAGGTTTCTGATAGAGGAAGAGGGAATCCGGGCAATGTCACTTGCGTATTTGAAGCGCAGCAAGTTTTATGAATTAGCTGAGTTCCTGAAGGATGTAGGTCTAGGTAGAAGAAACTTGGGAAATCTTCTGTGGAACCTTTTGTTGTTATCCTATGCTGCGAATTTTAAGATGAAAAGCTTACAAAGAGAATTTTTGAGAATGGTGGAAGCTGGTTTCCACCCTGATCTTACTACATTTAATATTCGTGCTCTGGCCTTTTCAAAGATGTCTCTACTGTGGGATCTCCATCTTAGCCTTGAACACATGAAACATGAGAAAGTTGTTCCCGATCTTGTGACTTGCGGCTGTGTTGTTGATGCATACTTGGATAGAAGACTAGGACGGAATTTGTATTTTGCCCTCAATAAAATGAATTTGGATGATTCCCCATTGGTATTAACGGATCCATTTGTGTTTGAAGTTTTGGGAAAAGGAGACTTTCATGCAAGCTCAGAGGCATTTTTGGAGTTCCAGAGGCAAAGGGAATGGACTTATAGGAAGTTAATTTCAGTATATTTGAAAAAAACATACCGGAGGAATCAGATCTTTTGGAATTACTGACTAGCGACCTGCATATTGTGCATGTTTGACTGATTGTTAGGAAAGGATTATTGTCGCTGATAATACTATGTCTATCAGTTCCAGTTTGCATTCTATTGGTTCAATTAGTGCATGTATGTAACAAAGTGAAAATGCAGCTCAGATGTGCATCATCCTGCATTGTGGAATGGGTACGTATCTGAACTTTCTTATTATGTTCATTTTAGGTAAGCAAAATGCATTCCTAGTCTCATGGATCTCGTGTAGGATCTCCGTGTTCAGGCCGAGATGAAGTTGGATATTGCTGATGGATGACTTACCAATGTTATGAACTTATCAAAAGCTAAAATGAAAATGCTACATTCATTCAGATTCAAAGAAAACTCCGAGGAGTGTGAAATAAAGGTAAGAGCAGTCCAACTACTGTTCCTTCTGAATCCCACATGCTGAAACTGATCTGCAGTCAAAACTAATTCCTCTCAAGTCTGTATCGTTTTCTGTTTACTGCAGTTTCCCTTCTATGCTTCATAAACCTGCTATGAAACCTTCATATCACAAGTTCATTTTTTCTTTATAGTTTCATTGGCTTGAAAAGTACCTTCTTAAATTAACAGATGAAACTGTTTGCTTTTCTACTTTCACAAGAAGCCTAATTGTTGGGAAGTTGATGATACGTACATATAAATAATTTCCTCAGTATAACTTCTGGCAAAAACATCCTTTTGTTGTGGAGCCTTAAGACTATTTAAACATCAACTCTACATTAATATATGTGAGCATAATATCATGCTGGGGAGTCTTGTACTAATTAGTTGGCAATGCTGCTATCCCGACCAACTACTTGAATTCTTGTCCTGCAAGGTATAGAACAGCTAAGGGTATGAACTATGAATACATCTGTACTTTGTCCCTTCGTAATGAAAGAGAAAGCTCCTAGTTGTTATAAATATATGTGGTACAAAATGCAGTAATTAATCTTCATACCGTAATAGTTTAAGCTTTTGAGAATAGTGGTAGCCCCGCAAATCCAACGTGGTCTCAGAGCATGATATTGTAAGTATGAACCTTGCAAAAAATTTAACCGCATGTCCTTCCAAAGAAAGCCACTTATGTATTTAGAAAAGTGCTATCAGCATTTATGTCTCGACTCTCGGGTGCGGAATGCCTTTGCCAGAGGAGATTTTATGTTTTTAAGAAAAAGGGAGTTTAATGATAAATCTTCAATAGACAGCAAAACAGTACAACATATGTAGACAGAAAGAAAACCGCAAAGACAAGTGAAAACAAGCCCCACAAGCGCATCACACAGTATCATATGGGTTTTCTAAACATACATTCGGGATTTCCCAGTTTACACAACTACGCAGACTTAAGCAACTCTTTTGCAGTCCCTACCTGAAATTATTAGAGAAAACAGAGATGGACTTGCAAAGGTTACAGGGAGGCGGGCTGAGCAATATTACGAGAAGAATTCAATTTTGCTACACTTTTTAAACATGTCTAGTCCAAAAAGATTTTTCTTTCAGGATAAGATGATGTGCTTGAGCGACTCCTTGAACTTTCATAACCAGGCTGTGATGGATTGCCGTCACTGATTACATCCTGAAAAAAGAAAAGACCAAAAAATTAACAAATAAGTTAGTGTTGATTATATATGCAAAAGTAAAAGAGAACCAACAATTGTGAAGCATTCACAGGTTATATTAGCTGTACATTGTATGAAATATATGATTAAACAGAATTCTAGCATGAATATTTTAGCATGCTATATAAGAGGCAAGAGCAATGGCAGGACCATGTTATGCAACTCACTTGTATTGTGGGAGTCGAGCTTTGTCTTGGTGAACATTCTCCACCACCACCAAGGAAGACACTGTTTGTCCTATCGTTGGCTAGTGCTCTTAATCTGTTAAGCTCAGGTAGCACAACTTTACCAAGATCTGGTCTATCTTTTCGTCGCAGTTCAGCACATTGTAAAGCTAGCTTGGCAAACTTTAGAGCTTCCTCAACTGGCCAGTCAGGAACAGCAGGGTCAAGCATCTCAGCAAAAGTCCCTTTCTCAATAGCCCTCTGAACGTGATGAGTCAAACCCATTGGTGGCTTGGCCGTTACTAGTTGTAGAAACATGACGCCAAGCGAGTAGATATCAGATTTTACTCCAAGCATCCCAGTTTGTTGGTACTCTGGGTCTATGTAACAAAGTGTCCCAGCTGTTGATGTCATATGATATTGAGTGACAGAATCTGCTACCGATGGAGGGACAAGCCTGGCCAAACCTACATCACTAATCTTGCTCACGTAGTTATGGTCTAGCAAAATGTTTGCCGGTTTCAGGTCACGGTGTACAATGGGTTCTGGCTTGGTCTGATGAAGGAACAAAAGTCCAGTGCCAATTTCTGCAGCTATTTGGAACCTTAGCTGCCAAGGAATAACTGGGGTGTTACCTCGCTGTAGGAGACGGTCTTCTAAGCTTCCATTAGCCATGTATTCATAGACTAGGCAACCATACTCGGCACATGCTCCCAGAAGGAGAACCATGTTTGGATGGCGGATACAACACAATACTTGAACCTGGATAATTAAGAGTTTCCCGATATATAATACACAACCAATAAAATGGCTTATAAATATAGAAGCACAGTAGCTCTAAGAGTAAGAAAAATCAATAATCCTAGCATTTCTATTTGAACTATCCGGACTTGAGAGGATTGGCAGATTGGTGTAAAGTATAAACTTTTTTTGGATGCATGAATATCACTTGATGAATATATTGATTAAAATCTTTGTTTGATGCACGAGCAATTTCTTATACTCGTGTTCCTCTTTAGTATTGATGTGGCTGCTGCTGTTTTCGAACAATGTGTTACCAGTTTTGGAAACAAAGTGAAAGTTCAATCTTCAATTCCTTCATGATCAAATTCAAGATGTGAAGTGCCTAATAATAGTCCTTTTCCTTGGTTATTTCATTTATGTGCTAAATATCTGACGAAAGTATGTAATTTATAAGATAGATAAAGTTTCCTATTGGCAGTGTCGCTAACCTCTTGCTGGAACTGTGATTGTCCTTGAGCTGCATCCGGACGTAGAACTTTTATTGCCACTGGTGTGTGGTCTAGTTCACCTCTGTATACCGGCCCATAGCCTCCTTCCCCAATCTTGTGAACGCTTGAAAAATTATTTGTTGCTGCTTCAATCTCCTCAATTGTGTATTTCCTGAACATGAAATCATATGTTTTTGCTTCTATTGCCTTCTTCTTCTCCTCAGCTTCTTTGAAGGCTTTCATTTCTGCATTCCTCCTTTTCTGTGCTTCCATTACTGCGATCCTTTGAGCTGCTTCTGCAGCCTCCATGGCTGCCATACATTTCAATTTCTCATTCTCTGCAAGTGCCAATGCAGCTTCCTGAGCTAGTCGTACCTGTTCTAATCTCTGTTCCTCTTCCAATTTCCACCGGTGTAGTTCGGTTGCCTGCGATGATGTATCATTAGAATTTATGCTTAAATAGTTGTTCTAAACCCAAGATTTATATTTCATCAAAGAAAAGGTTTTGCATCAATACCTTCTGTTTTGCTGTGAGTGCCTCCTTGCAGGCTGTACTGTACATGTCCATTGTTTGCTTGAGCTCTAGCCTGAGCCTCCTCATCTCAGCTTCCATTGCATCCTATTATTTTCAAGAAAATTACGTGTTAATACTCTGAACTATACCTGCACGTATGCTTTATAAAAATAAAGCTTCTTTTGGATTGTGGAACTAAAACCACTCAAAACTAACAGCATTTTTTTGGTAAATTTAGGTATCAATTATTGAAGGAATGATATTGGGACACCAGAACTGGCTTGGATAATCATTTGTGGTATATTAGTTTCTGCAGTCAAGTTTGTAGTTGGAGGCATGCTTCAAAGCTTGTAGCTTGGTTGTGCTTCAAGTTTACTATGCAGAAAAATTGTCTTACAAAATTCAGTTGTGAACATGAGTTTCCACTTTCAATTGAGGATGATGAGAAGTCGTATGGTGAAGAGCTCATGTCAATGAACTTATGTCCAGAGTAAGATGAGGTGGAGCTCCTGTTGTTTATCCCGGACGAGTAAGATGATGTAGAGCTTCTGCTATCAATCTCTGGGCTGATTGAAAGCCGAGGTCCTGAGTCCAGATCATCGTAGAAAGAAGGAAACATGTGATCCACACTCGGCCTTCCACTACTCACAAATGATATGTCAGTATCCGACGAGAGCTCATATGACTTGTTAGCTGAAGCTCCTCCTCTTGTGAATGGTGACCTGCATCATATTTATTAGGTTAGTCCTCTCCTCAGTTGAGTATTCACATGCTCTATTTCAGTAATAAAGTTGTTCTACATAAATATCCAGGCTATTCATTTGGAAGCCTTCTAACATGTTAACTGAAACTTCATCTAGGGAATGCTCAGGTGTGCTTTGCCTGGAAATGCAGATAGTGGTTGAATGAAAGCATCGGCAAAAATTTCTTAGTGAAAGGCCACTTACCTATAAGCTAATCATTTTAATACTGCTTAAATGGAGGTACGTAGATACTTACTAGGTACAACCAAAATAAGGAGCTGAATTAACTAATCGGTATCTACACCTCTTCCATAGTTAATTGTTTTAAGCATCATTGTCTATGCCTTTTGTTCCCCAGACGATAAATGTACCAGAGCTTACTTGATTTGAATTTCATCTTGCTGGCTTTGTGGTGGATACTGCGCCCTCTCCCATGCTGTATTGGTAAAAGAAACTTGATTGAGTAATGACAAAAAACCAGACGTGAGGTGGGAAATAACAGATGCTAGAACATAATCTGAACTTGCGACCTAAAAAAATGAAAAAACCGAATCTGGCCGACCTCTGGGTTGCTGGTTGTGGCTGAATTGCGTATCATTTGTGTCAGAAGCTTTGTTTGTTTGGTGCTGTTTTTGATTAGGCAAGTAAGCTTTCTGGGACAGTGAAGTGGTAGCAGCTCGCATATATGATATCTTTCCCTTGCCAATGACATACACAGTGCAGAAACTCGGTGCCTCTTTTGAGACAGTGTTTGGAACGTCTGTTGTTTTGAATCTGTGACGAGATTGATATAATTATGATGCATGCGTAATTGATGGCTTCCGACAAGCAAAAACTGAGTTAAGACTACAATGTGCGGAACCAGATCTTGAATAAATGATTTCTCAGACCATCAAATTTTCGGCATATGTGAGCTGGTATTAGTTGAGTCAGATCTATGAAAGTTTTCTCAGTTCATTGGATTTTAAAGATGTAATACTTAACTACCTACAATTATAGTTCCATTCAAATAAATGAATGAATTATACATTTTACGATTGATGCTTGTTCTCTTTGATACTATTTTTCTGATGATATAACTTGGAGAAGAAATCAGTACCTGAGAAGGCCGCTTCTTGACGGCGCACCAAGTACCAAAATGTCAATTGAATTATTGACAACATAGTTTACCAGTGCTTTTGCTATGTTTTTATCCTCGATTATGACTTCATTGCATTTTAGCTGTTGCAAAAATCAGATCAGCAGTACAACCACAAATCACGTTGTGAAACGAGGGATTCCACTCAACTGTTCATGGAGCGGGATAGGCAATACAGGATCACTTTTATGAAGGGAAGAAGCGTTACTCACAAGTTTTTTCGTGCAAAAGCAGCGGAATGGTAGAAACAACTCTTTGGCTTGAGCCTTTTCAACCTCCTCTGTGGCTGGTGACATACATTAGTAAATTACGATCATCATCATCATCTTATGCACAATGTTGCAAGTTTGAGGTGCGCAACGGGGAGAGGGTGAGGTGTTGGGAGGATGGTTGGTTGGAAGGGGACCATTGAAAGAACAATATCCTAGATTATTCTTGCTATCGAGAATGCACAACCAGAATATCGCAAGTTTTGTGGATCTTTCTATCAATTCTTTGAGCTGGAATTTTGATTTCAGGAGAAATTTGAACGAGGTGGAGATAGAAGAGGCGGCTAGATTATTACAGAAAGTGGAAAATGTTCGCTTGTCTCAATCAAGAGCGGATGACAGAAGGTGGAAACTGGAATTATCAGGATTGTTCACTTGCAAATCCTATCGCTCTTTCTTGAGCAACAATGGGATTGTGCAACATTTTCCACCCTCTTCTCAGATTTGGAAATCAAAAGTTCCTCCGAAGGTCAAGGTTCTTGTGTGGCTAGTGGCTATTGGGAAGCTCAACACTTGTGATCAAATTCAAAGGAGAAGTCCTTTTATTTGCTTCTCTCCCCATTGGTGCAGTTTGTGAAAAGCTAAGGAGGAGAGTGTTAACCACATTTTTCTTCATTGTTCATACACGATTCAACTGTGGTGGAAATTGTTTCAGGAGGTTAGAGTTAGTTGGGTCATTCCAAAGGGTTGTTTCGAGCTTCTAAGCACCAATTTTGAGGCTCTAGGAATTGGGAGGAAAGCTAAAGCTTTGTGGGGTTGTCTGGTGTCGGCAGTTTTTTGGAACATTTGGTTGGAGCGTAACAAAAGAATTTTTGAGGATTATATTGGTGTGGGGGTAGCAGATCTATGGGGAAGAGTAAGATATTGGGCAGCCCTCTGGGCTTCAGTTTCGAATGATTTTAAGAATTACTCTCTTTCTCACATACTGTGGGATACGTTAGCAGTTGTAAAGTGATTTTGGTTGAGGTTTTCCTACTTGTAATCAGATCCTCTTGAGAGATTTTCTTGTTTTGTTCTTGGTGGATTTCTTATCCACTTCTGTGTATTTCACTTTTCTTTTTTAATAAACTGTTATAGTTTCTTCTCAAAAAAAAAATCATCATCTTATGCATTCATGCATTTACACACACACACACACATATACACAGAGAGTGAGAGAGAGAGAGAGAGAGAGAGAGAGAGAGAATGTACTTTGCGTGGGAATTGCGGTTCTTTGTCTAACATGGAGCAGCGTGAGAGCTTGACCTCTGGTGACAAGACTATCAATAGTCCATTTGAGAGCATGTTGGCTGCCCTTGTCATTGTCTATTGCCACAGCCACCACCTCCCCCGCCTTCTTTTGTGTTTGACCTCTTCCCATTTCTCACCTTCCGTGAATTAATTCAACTCTCCATCAAACTCTAACCTGCATGCGTACGTAGAAATGTCTCCGACTCTGAAAGAAACAAATCCCAGACGGAGAACCACCGTCCTACGCTCTCCTTGGCAACGCCTTGGCACTGAAGCTGTGCTATATTCTCATCAACTCTCTCTCTCTCTCTCTCTCTCTCTCTCTCTTAAATATTCTAGAGCTAGGGAGATAAGAATGTGTGGGAGGGAACGATAGTATAACCAAATTCCCTAACCATCTTGTCTTTGTGCCTCTCCAAATACTCCTTTGTTGCATTGGAGCATTCAGTTGTAACTTCCACCTACTTGTTATTCCTAAATTAGCAAAATTTACATGCCCCCAAAAAATCTAGACGAGTCTCAGTCGTTTGTCTCCAGAAGAAAAGTTAGCGAATCGTAACAACACACACACACATATATATAGATGTACATATATATACATATACAAATGACTATATATATATGCTAAAGAGGTGGCCAGCTAGAAACTAGCTTTCACGAAAATTTAAACAAATTAAAAAAAAATAGAAGGCCGTTCTAAATCTTGTTGAAACAAGCTAGGTTAACTAAAAATTAGAGAAAAGCAAGAGAAATCATAAATATAACAGCAGCTAAGATATGAACTGAGCATTGTTGTATGCGAAATCTGCATTTACGGATGGTTGCAGCTTAATCTAAGAAAACATCTCAACTGCTTCGTCAGCTGCCAAAATTGTTGCCTCTTGAGGCTTAAAATTTTCTGTTTCCTTCTCCATAGCTGCCACAGTTGCTTCCAATGCAAGTCCCGCCTCTTCTAGGATATAGGGTTGGCCTTCTGTTTTGCTGCTAGGACACGTTCCTTGTGCGCTTCAGCTCCATTCACTAGCTACTTTCTGTGGCAGAGTGACGTTAAAACGGAAGCTGGAAAAACCTGATGCTAATTTTGTGGTACTCTCAGACTTGGAGGGTTTCTCCTATTCGAGTCACCCTAGCAGGCTCAAAATTTTGGAAGAAAGAATGTACTGTGCCATCAGTACTTGGCCTTACTGCCGTTGGATTAAGATCAAATGGTGGGTGGCCATGATTTCTGTAAACCCGAGGTCTACGAGAACATGACTGCTAATCTAGCTATAATAATAGTACGTACGAAAATCTAACTGAACAATTCTGATGAGATTAGTATTTGATAGCGGTTGATTCGTTTCATAGTTATTCCAAGACAAGCAGTACAAGCCTACAAGCAAAGGAAATCCGACCAACATGAGCAACTAGCTATTCCAAGAACGTAATTAAACACGAGAAAACAATCAACAAAGTAGTATCTATCCGCCATGAATGAACAGAAAAGGCAATCCAACAGCTGCAGCCACCGCATGTTCCAATCCTAAGCTTCATTACGATTATATCTCGGAAGAGGAATCAGAAGAGGAATCGGAAGAGATAACAGAAGGGGAATTGGAATCGGTATCATCCCATAAGGATGGTTCACCTCTCTCCACTCGTGCCCTGGACATTTCAGCCATTTCTCTCTGTCTTGCCATGAATTGCTCCACTTCCTCGTCGGTTGGGTACTCATGTGGCAGAGCCGCAGCACGCCTATAGAAACGAGCATAAGAGCGGCCATGACCGCAGACGTTACCCACTAAACCACAAGTCCTACAAATTAGTATATAGCCCTTTCCAACTTCAGTTACGCCCAACGGGACACGTTTCCGGTAGGGACACAGATGTTGGAGGTGGCCGTCCTTAAGGCAAACTGCACAATGCTGATTCTGAGAATGGCATTTCTTAGACTCACGGTAACGTTTCTTCTTTGACTCACGGTAACGTTTCTTCTTTGAAGTAGGAGTATCATCACCAAGTTGGAGTTTGCTCATAGAGCTTTCGACAGCTTTTGTTTCTTTCTTCTCATCTGTTTGTTGCACATAAATTAATTAATACTAGATATATTTACTCAGCTAATTAACAGGTCAAATTAAGGGAGCAGGGCACCCTTGTATTTTGGGTTTAACAGCAATTAAGCTGCAACGTTTTTGGTTAATATGCAGAATTTACAAACCCTAAAACAGAAACCAAACGCATATATATATACACCAAGACAAATCCGGATCTCACCTCGGAGCTCCGCCGGTTGGGCTGGATTCTTCCCCCGCCCGGAATCTAATCGCGCGAGCCAATTGGCCCTTCCTCTGCCTCTGCCTCCACCTCCGCGCTTGGCATCGTCTCTGGGTACCCGGATCATGGCTTCGTCTGTGCGAGAGAGACTCAGAGAGATTGCACGAGTGTGGAGATTTACCTTATAGGGTTACGCTTTTGACAAAACAATGAAATTACCCTTATACACACCAACTTATTCCACGTCATTCAACCGTCCTGCTCTTCATATAAAACAAGGATAATATTACAGACACCAAAATTGAAAAATCAACACGTTAATCAACGTTTAAGTAAGAATATAATCATTAACAACCACATCATTTTGTTTAAAAAATTTGGTCTCCTTAGCATTATCCAAAAATAAAAAAAATTCGAATGGGAGATCAAACTTAACTCGAAAAAAATTGAACCAAATAAAAAACCAAATCGAAATACAAAAACCGACCCGAACACAAAGGGATCGGTCACAAACCGAAATATATATTTAAATTATTTAATGTTGTAAACATTCCTAGTTTAAGTATGATTGTGTAAATCTTAGATTAGATTTGATTCTAGTTATCATTTCCTATTGTATCTTGTATTCCTTGGGGAAGAAGGAATATCTTCTCTCTTTTACTACTATAAATAAAGGCACAAGGTAGGAGGGATAACAACACACACATTCCCTACAATTCTACAAACACATCTCTTTCTCTTCTCCTTGCCGCCGGCCCCTTCTCTCCTTGTCAAACAAAATAGACCACACAAGTTATCAGTACGCTTCTACTGCTGCGCTTAGGAATCTAACGTTGAAGAATTTTTCTGCATCAAACCAATTCATTCATATCATCACACAATCAGGTTCTTTCAAAACAACGGTTTTTATCTTGATATTTTTGCAGCCCTAAGCATGAACATTTACCATAATGCATGACCCAACTTTATGTTTTACGAATTTTAGATTCTACATGAATTGTGTATGCCTCATAATCATAATTATTGAATTATGTGAATTTGATATTGGTTATGAATTGCATCAAATATATATATATATATGCATCAATTAAATTATACATGAATTACATTAAATTATTTATATGCATATGATTGGATTGATAAAAAAAAAGAAAATAAAACTGGAATCGGGAAACCTAGGGTTCTTCGAACCTATGCACTTACACCATGCAAGGCTGCAAGCCACCAGGCCAGCAGCTTGCGATGGCCCATCCCATTCCCTCGCTAGGCCTGTAGCTTGCATCAAGTCCCCAAAGCCGGAGCCATAGGCTCTAGGTTGAAATCAAACACACCCCGATGCCCACCACGGCGTCTCCACCATCACAGGATGGCCTGCAGCCCATCCTCACACCTTGAGTCACCATGTTTGATGGCCTGAAGCTCGTCCTCGACATCAATTGAATCTCCTCGGTTTTTTGTTGAAAAACCTAATTCGAAATTCTAGGGTTGTACAACAAATGTTGAGATTTTTTTTTTCAAATCTCCGTTCATATTTGAGGTCTTTGACGACTCACGGACTCATCCCAAGCATCATTATCCTAACGCCGACCGCCTAACGTGGCGCCATCGACCAAACCCGGCGTTCTTCCCTAATAGCGCACACCCAACATGGCTATGATGTATGACCCGAGCCCTATTGGGCTCCATCTCTCGGGCCGCATAAAGATTTTGTTTTTGGCTTTTGGGCTCGCCTGCAGCGGCCTATACCGTTTGCACCTCTCCCTATAGGCATGCAGTACCCGAGACCACTAGCCCAATTTTTGGGCCTAGGTAGCACGGACCAATTTTTTTTTTTTAAGCCACCCGTGAGCTTATTTTTTTTTCTTTTGGGCCCCGAGTTTTATTCGCCTAATTATTTTAGGCCCAATGGGTTTTGTTTTTTTTCACCCATACTTTAATTTGGCCTGAAGTCCAAATAATTAAAATTCAATTTTAATTGTAAACGTAAATTTTATATTTTTGCATATTCTTGTTGCATATTTGTTTGCATATATATTTGTGTTTGCTTGTAGGAATATATGAACTTGAAGTTCATAATTATTTTGAAACTTAAAGTTTCTTACATACATGCCTTGTTTCAAAACCTAAAGTTTTTCATTTAAAAAACCCGAAGTTTTTCATGCAAGATTTAACCAAATCATGTCTATTAGAACCTGTATGTTCTACTCCTATGTGAATGGATTGATTTTTTCTCCATTACACTAACCACATCCTGTCCATCTATTTTGTGATCGGAACATGTCGAATTTGAACAAACTTGACTTCATCGCTTTAGAGGTCTTTGGAAGGAACTACCTCAAGTGGGTCCAAGATGTGAAGCTCTACCTCACTGGAAAGAACTTGCGTCTTGCCATTGAAGAAGCAACGGACGAGCCTATTGGTGAAGCTGAAAAAGCCATTGCTATGATCTTCATCCGAAGACATATTCATGATGCTCTGCAAACTGAATATCTTACTGAGGAGGATCCACATGCATTATGGGTCACTTTGGATGATCGTTATGATCACCAAAATGACATATTCTTGCCTGAAGCAAGACACGACTGGCAGCACTTGCGCTTCCAAGACTTTAAGTTTGTGAATGAATATAATTCTGAAGTTTGTCGAATCCAATCACTTCTCAAGTTTTGCAATGAAACTTTGACTGAAGATGATCTCTTAAAGAAGACCTATTCGACTTTCTCTGCTTCTAATATTGTCCTACATATATAATATAAAGTTTAGAAGTTCATTAAGTTCTTGGATTTGATCTCTGTTTTACTTATGGCTGAAAAACAGAACCAGCTGTTGATGAAGAAGCATCAAGCTCAACCTACTAGGGCAACTATTGTGCTTGAAGCATATTATAGCACCAACCAACGCCCAAAACGCCAAAAGAGGCGTGGTAGGGGCGGCCAGAAGCCATCCTACCAAGGTCAATAGAGTCAAGGCCCATCTAAGGGAGGAAACAAAGCCCAGAAGCATCCAAACCTTGCCCCCAAGGTCCCGAACTTCAAGAATAAGGGCAAAGTACCTGAAACCATGGATGCAGACATGTGCTATCGCTGTGGTTCAAAGGACCATTGGTGCCGTGTTTTCCGAGCTCTCAAGAAGGTTGTAGATGAATATCATTCTTGTTATGGATGTGATTACTTTTCGCTACCTTATCAGTTTGGTAGTTTCTGAAAAACTGGCTATGCTGTTGATGGATGTAGTAACCGCGTATCTCTATGGGGATCTTGATACGGAAATTTACATGAAAGTTCCTGAATGACTTACATTGACTGGTTCAAATATTTCCAAACCTCGAAACACGCTCTTAATTAAGCTGAGGCGTTCACTTTATAGTTTGAAACAATCTGGAAGAATACGGTATAACCGTCTAAGTGAGTATTTGACTAGTTAGGGATATGTGAACAACGAACTATGCCCTTGCGTGTTCATTAAGAAGTCACATTTTGGATTTGTGATTGTTGCAGTATATGTCGATGACATGAATCTTATCGGAACTCCTGAAGAGCTCGCGAGAATTGCCGTGCACCTGAAGTCGGAATTTGAGATGAAAGATCTATGTAAGACTCGATACTGTCTCGGTCTCGAGATAAAGCATTGCTCGGATGGAATCTTAGTACATCAATCGAACTACACCCAAAAGATGTTGTGCCGCTTTAATGAGGATAAAGTGAAGCCTTCGAGTACTCCTATGGTCATTCGTTAGCTGGATGCAAAACGAGATCCTTTTCGTTCAAATAAGGATGATGAAGGGATTTTGGAGCCTGAAGTTCCTTATCTAAGTGCGATATGCGCTTTATTGTACTTAGCTCAATGCACTAAACCCGACATCTCATTCGCTGTTAATCTTTTGGCAAGATACAGTAATGCACCAACACGCAGACACTGGATTGGCGTGAAAGACATCTTTTAGTAACTTAAGGGTACTACGAATTTTGGCTTGTTCTATCCTTACGAATCCTCAAATGATGCCGCACCCTATGATCTCGAGTCGATTCTCGCCTTGTTGGTTATGCCGACGCAGGATACTTATCTGATCCGCACAAGGCGTGCTCTCAAACGGGTTATGTCTTTACCGTTGGAGGCATCGCAATCTCTTGGAGGTCAACTAAACAGACCTTAGTTGCCATTTCGTCTAACCATGTTGAAATTCTCGCCTTACATGAAGCAACTCGAGAATGTTTTTAGTTGAGAGCAATAGTGGGCCATATTCGAAGCTCTTGCAATCTTTATCCCGCCGTTGATGTCCTGACGATGATCTTTGAAGACAACGCAGCTTGCATCAAACAGCTCAAGAAAGGTTACATCAAAGGAGACAACACCAAGCACATTGCACCGAAGTTTTTCTTTTCACATCAACAACAAGAGCATCAGAAGATTAAAGTCACACAAATTCGTTCACAAGACAATTTGGCCGATCTCTTCATGGAATTGGTATGCGTAAACTTTCTGAGTTGTAACTTTTCTATTTCTCTTTGGAATTATGTCAAACTCAAGGGGAGTATCCTGTAGATACTTGCTTGATCTTAATGTACTCTTTTTCCCTACGATTAGGAGCATTCTTCCCACTGGGTTTTTGCTACCTAACTAGGTTTTAACGAGGCATCCACCTTGGGCTGGTCATATCCCTGATGACATCTTGTAGATGTTTCTTTTGACTTTGCATTTCTCACACATTTTTCCTTAGACTATGGATTTTGTCCCTACTCGGGTTTTTGCCATAGCCTTAGGGTTTTTTTAGTGAGACTTACTACTTATGCAAGTTCCTACTTTATTGAGAATAAGCGTTGTTCCTTAGAATCAGTGTCGATGAGTCGATTTCTTCAACTTCTGCATGACGCTAAATCTACCTTGAGTATTTACACACTCAAGGGGGAGTGTTGTAAACATTCCCAGTTTAAGTATGATTGTGTAAATCCTAGATTAGATTTGATTCTAGTTATCCTTTCCTATTATATCTTGTATTCCTTGGGGAAGAAGGAATATCTTCTCTCCTTTACTACTATAAATAAAGGCACAATGTAGGAAGGATAACAACACACACATTCCCCTACAATTTTACAAACACATCTCTCTCTCTTCTCCTTGCCGCCGACCCTCTCTCTCCTTGTCAGATAAAATAGACCACAACATTTAATATAATATTTAATTTTAAAAA